CCATTAGGACAACGCTAGTCCACACACACATTAGTAGTGACACGCCAAAGCTCCGTCAGCTTGGTTGTTCTTATGTATCCACTTTATAGCTTTGACCTCACATCAAGTGATTTACTACCTGTTCCTGTCTATGGAGAATGATTTTGCTGGTGGAAAATTTGGCTCAAGAGAAGTTTGTGAAAATCGACTGTTCCAGTTTTTAGCCAATAGGGTTGAGGAATTATATGAGAATGCCAATACCTTCAAGTCAAAGTAAAGATCGAAATTATTTACTCGAATCATATAACTTCGTTCAATTTCTATAATCCTATCATCCTAATTTTGAGAACTTACAGATCGTAAACACTGCGTTTTGAATGATCTGTCACTGTTTTTCGCTAACCTTGGATTTATGAAAATAGTTCACTTTTTCATCATAGTTGTAGTAGCAAATTGCTTTTTCATAAAAAAAATTAACTATTTACATACATATGTATGTATGTATGCTAAATTTCACAAATTTTCAACTTACTTTTCTCTGAAGGGAAAAGCTGAAGCTTGAAATTGACACGAATTCATGATGCCATTGCACTATTAAGAAACTAATAGAAGAATAATTCAAAGGATTGAACATAAAATGTGACCTAGAAAATAAACGTAAGTTCCAAAGCAAATACCTTTATTGAACACACAATCGTGCGACATTCCCAGCACTGTGGAAATCAAATCAGATTCCCATTGATTATTTACAACTTTCCAGAACTTTCATTCTTAAACAACTCTGCAACATATGAGTTCACCCATATGCACTCAGGGCAAACATACAGATCTCTGCTTCACGGTGGTTGACGCGCATTGTCTAATTGTAAAAATGGGACAAATTTCTAGCGAATGTGAAAATAAAATAAAATGCAATTTACTTTAATAACCGCAATGCCGCAATATGAAGCATCAACAAGCAGTTTCTACAGTAGGGAGCAAAAATTGTGTAAACGTAGAGCTTTTTTTAATTTGATTGAAAAGTTTTCTTTTAATATGAATTTTCTTTGTAATATTTTAGTTAAAACAAGTAAGGAAGGCCTAAGTTCGGGTAAAACCGAGCATTTCATACTCTTGCCACTTGCAAGGATCAATGCAGGAAAAATACCTTCAGGTGTCGGCAAAATTTTATATTAAAAAATGTTGGTAGCATATTAATTTATTTTGAAGGTCATAAATTCACTTAACTTAACACAAAATGGAAGAGCTGATTGCATTAATTTATGACATTGCTCAGGTATTCTTGAGAACTTTATTTTGAAACAATGTTATAAATATACGAGTATAAACATATATAAGGAGTAAAGTTAGCCGGATGTTTCAAAATCGTGAATATCAGTTAAATGGGGGCTAAGGCAACTTTCCGCCCGATTTTATCTATTCTAGACGCAAAGATACACTGTTATTAGGAAAATACGCTTTCTCAATTTCTTCAAAATAACACCCACATTGGCCGAAACATGTGGTAAAAAATCAACTGGATGTTCGAAAATCTTTATATGAGGTATATGGGGACTAAGGGCAGTATTGACCCGATTCAACACAGGGGTATATTATTATCAGAGAAACATTTTCCTCGAATTTCAATAATATATCTTACAGATTGTCCGATATTTTCGACAAAAAGTCAGCCATTATAATCCGATTTCGTCCATTTTCACACCGTCGGTAGGGGTTCTTGAGAGATTCAACTTATTAGAGAGCGACGCAACAGCCACTTTTATAAAAATTTTAGCACACAGGTACTTCTTACTGCTGCAATCCCTTGTACTAAATTACAGTTTTTTTATCTTAATTTAATGCTTACTTATAGCATTTCATATGTTATCGCTTATCGGTGTTTTTTGGACGTGGCAATGGTCCGAATAAGCTCATCCACGAACTCGTCAAAACTTTTTTACCAGTAAAGAATCGTATGGTCTAAACGTATTCGTATTCGTCTAAAGAGACTTTTAATCGTCATTTCCAGCTTAAACAAAATGAAAAATTTCGAGAAATTTTTGGATATGCAAAGGGATAAATTAGTATAGAATTAAAAAAACAATACTTTTAGGACTAGGTCTTATATCTGCAACGTCAAAAACATTATTGGAAAGAATATGCAGATTAGAAATACTAGATTTAAATTTTGAAAACAACCTAAAATTATTTATTTGCAAAAAATTATAACTGCGCATAATAAAAACTCATTTTTGTAAACACAATGCAGAATATTTGAACAGCACTGCGCTTACTACCGTAAGGGAGTTGTAAACAAAAGATCCAAGCACAGCTGATAGGCCACAGCCAGCAGGCAAGCGAGTGGGCGGGCGGTCGTTCGCTTGAGCAGACGCTGAGCGGAAGCATTTAATATCCTAATGCCCATTGAAAAGCGATCATTGCGCCAGCTAAATAGCTACAAAAGCGATAATCGCGCGCAGAAACAACAACAATAAAATAATACAAAAAAACGCGCCATAAAAGTAGTGTCGCCTGTAGCGCATTATAGCGGTTAGTCGATCAAATGCGATCGCAGCGACGGATATACAGTTCAAACGTCAGCGTTGTGCAGACAGCACACACCCACGCATACATAGCATGCGAAAGTGCAATTACAATGCATAGCGAAAAATGAACAAAAGGAAATTTGAGCACATGAAATAGTGAAGAGAAAAAGTTGTGATATAATTTTTTTTTTTAACAAGCTAGAATCTATATTTATACCCTGAACTGACTGAGACTCAAAAAATATATACTTACATACTTCAAACTGACCGATCAAAATCAAGTAAAAGTTATTATTCTACCTTCTTTGCACTAAGAAATGTACCTGTGAAGGGTATTATAGCTACGGTGCAACTGAAGTTAGCGTTTTTCTTGTAATTTTCTAAATTTGCAGCTCACAATTTCAAGCAAAATAAATATTGCACATTTGCCGGTTGAATGATCCGAGTGGTGATGCCTGCCTCATGTGATACTGTATGACTGTTTGACTGATGGCTTGACATGCGGACCAAGTTGCAAGCGCAATCCAACAAACAAGCGTTACATTGGCCATTTTGGAGTATTCATATTGCATATTCACACGAAATTGCTAAGCGAATGCAATGACCGGCTCACTGTTGCCCCTCAACCGCACAACGCCCGAAAATTTGCAACTATTGCTACTCTTTTATTGTTGCGCTTTTTGACTGCTTTACAACAATTGACATGCCCACCGTGCTGCGCGTATCTCCCTCCATTGTCCACACGCCCACTTGTTGAAGCGTGGCTGCAATCTTTCAGTCCGTTTGGCTGCTTGGTTTGACTGACAATGCTGCAACCACTGTCAGTGTCGTTCTGCTGCGCACTTACCTATACATGCACATACCAAAGCTATACATAAGTACGCGGTGCCGACAAGAAATAGAAATTGGGTCAAAGTAAATGACAAACAAACAACGGCAACGCCAATAGCAACTACAAAAACTGTAATAATATTAATAAAGCTCTTGAAAGTCAAATCAAAATAAATTCATAAAATTTAGCAATAAATAGGCAATATAAATCATTTTCGTGAAATAATAACGGCAAATCAATAACACCAAACACTGTTGTGTGTTAGACCAAAAAACAACAAATTTTTGTATATCAAATGTAATACAAGTACATAGCAACGTATCTTTCATATTCATTAAAGCGTCAATTCACTACATTGCTATTAATTATTAATAAGCGAAAATTTCACATTCATTGCTTGATTTCAAATCGCTTTTGTGAGTTATCTACAAATAATTTCAATTCGATTTTTCCTACCTTAATGCATTTCTCCGTCGTATTCTGGCGCGTCATTTTCGAAAAACGTTGCTGCCGATTGTCATTGCTCTGCCACAGCACGTAGACAATATTCACTTCAAGAGCATTTCTAATTGGCTTACTTATACTTAGACTTTGATTGTTAAAGATCGCTTTCACATTGCCACACATTGAGTTTTCTCACACATATCTTGCCAATACGAGTATGGAAGAATGAGATATAAAATAACAGAACATAAATAAAAAAAATGAAAATCGGTAAAATAAAAAAGGAAATTTTTTTTGTTTTAAGTATAAAACAAGAAAAAACGTTCGGTTGCGCCGAAGCTATAATACCCTTCACAAATACAAAGGCCCCTTACAAGAACTTGATTCCGAACGTTCAATTTGTATGGCCGCTATATGATATAGTGATCTGATCTGACCAATTTCTGTGGAGAATAATTTGTTGCCTTAAGCAATAACTCGTGCCTAATTTCGTGAAGATACCTCGTCAAATAAAAAAATTTTCCATGCAAGCACTTTACTCCGATCGTTCGGTTAATATGGCAGCTATATGCTATAGTCATCCGATCTATACAATTTCTTCGGAAATTCGATTAATGCTTTAAATAATAATACATTCCAAATTTCGTGAAGATACGGGCTCAGAGTGTGGAAGTAAGCTTAAAACCCTCCAGCAACTATTGACTACTCTGAAATTAATCTTTAACAACGACAAGGACAGCATGATGATTCAAAATGCTAGCTGAGTTCGATAGATTCAGATTCAGAGATAGATGTCAAGAGGTAAGTTATTTATATTATCATATCAGAAGCAGAACCTACCTTAACACACCCATCTATAAAGCAGATATGCGATGAATCACTTCAGAGAGCTCTATACATATTTTGTAAATTATTGATAAATTTTGCTAAGTTAACTGAAATATTAGCTACTTTATGATATAAAATACAGACAGCGAACATTCGTCAGTCATCTCTCAATCTTAAAGTACCGCTTGAACACCAAATAATGAGGACAATCAATATAATGTCTATACTTTGCCAAAACAAACATAATCTGACCATCTAACTTAAAGTTCATAATATAGATATAATCACCAAAATAGCACTAAATCAATTAGATTGCATTTAATTTTCAGTAAGAACTCAGAATAACAACTTATTCTAGGTTTAAACAAGTAAAGCATTTCCAGGCTGACTCAAAAGCTTTCAGTTTGCGACATTTAACAACTTTTAGGCACAAGAAAATTTGAATAAAATTCAAAAAGTAAACAAAGTTGCAATAAAAAATTGTGTTTATCTTTGGGGCAACTACGCACAGTATGCAAAAGAATCTCTTTGTGCCAACAACGACAACAGCAGCCAGCCTATTTGCAGCGCGCTTGAGAGCACAACAAAACGTTCATTTAGAAAATATTTACCAACATTGGCAAATGTGCATGTCAGACAGTTAACCAACTTTATGCCGGTTAACGCTTATAAGCAACTTTAATTGCCGCAGCAAGATCAAGACACGATTTGACGCAGCCGCTACTCCAACGCCGCCTTAGCGGGAGCAGCAGCTGCAGCAGCCACAACTACAACATTACACTTTTCTAACAGCGATCGAGTCAAAATCAAAGTCATATTTGTTGTTGCGGTTGATGTTGTTGTTGTCGTTGCTGTTGTCATAGTTGCCGCTGACCAACTCGTCGTGGCTGCAGCCGCTTGAAACGCTGAAAAGGTATAAAAGGTTCGCTGCTATCGCTGAGCGGTTCAATTCGACGCGAAACGTCTGCGCTTTTGGATTGACGGCGACAGCAGCCGAAACGGGAATATTTTCCAACCGCTATAACAGTAATGCAATAATAATTTTGAAGGCGCTTTTTATCAAGTGAACTCGGTTCAAGTTTAGACAAGTAAAGTGAAACATTCTGCAAATCACGTACAAGAACGAAGCCCACGAACAAAGCGACAACTTAAAATTAAATTTATTGACAATTTCGCAACTTGCAGCGTGCGTTTTCTCACGCTTGTTGCACCACATCTAGATGCACGTGCTCTGTAAATAGATAAAAATTTGCATACTCGATTCCTTGAGCGCTAGTGCGGCGATTAATTATTCATAAACTCACATATTTTGGAAACGTGACGTGCGGGAGGACAGCACAACGCATGCGCAACGAACATCCTTTGAAAGCGAACGTGTCTGCAATAGCAACAACAACACGTGGGTTGTGTGTGTGAAAAGGCCTTGCCGAATATTGAAATTTTTAAAATTCATTGAACGTTAAGTGGCACAGGGAACTTGAACAAGTGACACGATAAGTTACAAATTGTACGAATTAAATAAGTAAACACAAAAAACAAGAATTAAAGAAAAAGTGAGTGACAGCTGCGGTACGCTGAAGTTGACGAAATCGAAAGCAACAACAGCCCACTGAACTGTAGTGATTAAAGTGCTGCAATATGGATGCAAAGGTGAGTGTGATTGAAAAGGTTTGGCTGTTTGTAGGTTATGCAGGTTTAAGCAATATTTATACACCGAGCAGGATATATTAAATTTGCCACGAAATTTTTTACACCAAGAAAAGAACGTTCCGACAAATGATCATTTTCTTGGGGAGAAAAGGACGTATGCAAAATTTCGGATCGATATCTCAAAAACTAAGGGACAATTTCGGGTATATACAGAGAGACAGACAAACAGACAGGACATGCTTAAATCAACTCAGTTTGTCACGCTTATCATTTAGATATATACTTTATAGGGTCTCACTTTTTCGTTAAACGTTTAACCATATTAAAGAGAAATTTAAAGTGAATATTGTTATGTTAAAAATATTTTTTTGAACGTTATGAGGGAAAATACTTCTTTCTTGAAACCCATTTTTTATATGCAATTTTTTTTATTGCAAACAATATTTATTTTAAAAATATCAAGCGAAAGCAAACAAAATATACTATATGAATATACGTATGTACATAAGCTCCAAAGGCTTTCGGAGCAACAGTTTAACCATTTAATATTTATTTATAGAGGATCTGAAAAACTTATTTCTTAAAAGCTAGTTTCTCCCTCCTGTAAAATCGACGAGTAATAGTCCACTTATTACATCGAAGCTAAAGGCTTTCAGTGATGAGGAATTACGCCTTTTTAACAAAAATTTCCAAAATCTATGTTAAAAGTTCAATCTTTTCCAGTTTAAAGTATGGCTGATGCCCTTATAGCAAGTCTTCAATCTTAAGGATTTTCTAAGGAAATTTTATGGATACTTTTTTTCGACAAAATCGTAAACTGTTTCGGTAGAAAAGCATTTAAAGATTATCGTCGTTTAGTTTTTCAAATATATTGTTTTATATATTTAAAACAAATACCAAATCCTACTGTTGTTACGAGAGTCACAATTGAAAATTACCCTGTAGTTCTGAAGTCGAGAGTAACGCTTTATATTTCCAATTTTTATCTACGTATACGGCAGATAGAGATGAAACTCGCTAGAGATGATTCGGACTATTAAACTTTTGTCAACGGTAGATCTCCCAATTTTCGAAAGAACACTTTTTCTACATATACATATGTATTTGGTGCATATGCACTAAGTCATTTGAATGATTGCAACATTTTATTCACACATGGTCGATACTCTATAAGACCAAAAAACAACAACCAAAAACAAAAAAACAATAAACAAAAGCAATCAGAAAAGCATTTAAGAGCATACCGTTTTATCTGTGATTGCTGCCGCTCCTTTGACTTTTTGTTACACTTTCACTTTTCAAATGTTTCTGGCTATCAGTCAGCCAGTCACTCAAGCAGTCCGTTAGTCAATTAGTGGGGCAGACAGCTTGTCTGCTCACAACTCAAGTCAGCTAGATAGTCAGTCAGTCACTTAACACCCACTCAAAATATGTAGCTGAGGTCAAGTACATGCAAATACCGAACATAGCCGGTGGGCGCGCATGCGCAGAGTAAAGTAGTAAAAATCGATACCTCGCTTAAGCGCGCTCGAGTTAAAATCGGATAAGTGGGCATACGCTGGAGTCGGGTATGCCGCGACGCAATGTTTGAGTATGTATATTCAGGCATACATACATACATTCTGTACATAAGTGGAGTATTTGTGTTTACTAAATCTTTTGGGTAGGAGTGTATCAAATTGTTTTTCTCTTTGATTTCATGCTTCACAGTTTTCTATTTCATTTATTCGCTGGCAAAAGGTTAAGCGCGTAAGGAAAGTTGAAACGAATTTACGAAGTGAACCGTTAGAGATTTTTATGCTGGGGAAAAAAATCGGGAATAAATTGTAATTCGCTATGTACCAGCGGGGTTCTTCCTTAGCTAAAAATTATAATATAGATCAATTTGATTTATTTTTTATAAGTAAAGAAGTTGCATAGGTTGATATGTAAATGACCCGCTAGGTGACGCTGAGATCAAAGTAGATAAAAATCATATAGTTATATTGAACGAGTTCGTTAAAATTTAAAAATTTTTCTGATAAATGACTCTGTTGGTCGAAATATTATTGCATATTTTATTTTAAATACGTGTTTTAACTTCTGGCCGATCAAAATCAAGACAAGATCTTTTCTTTAGCTGTTTACAGCGATTATCTGTTATACGAATAAATTTTGAATACTTTAATCGATTATTTGCTTTGAGTATACTAAAGCAGAAGACTTAAGAAGCAAACTTGTTTCAGCAACGATCGTAAGCACGATAGTATTTTTATACCCTAAGCAGGTAGGTATCTTAAGTAAGGCAAGGTATCCTAAGTTTGCTTCGATGTTTGTAACACCCAAAAGGAAACGTTGGAGACCCTATAAAATATATATATTTATGTTTATAAATAATCAGCGTGACGAGCTGAGTCGATTTAGCTATGTCCATCTAGCATACGAGTATGTGTAGCTGCCATATAAACTGAACGATCAGAATCAAATATTTGTATGGAAAACTTTTTCATTTGACGAGATAACTTTATCAAATTTGGCATGGAACTGATTTTTCTATTTGTAAAAGGTGTTGTAGTTTCGGTGTTACCAAAGTAAACGTTGTTTTATGTTTTATAATGATATGCATATATCGAAATAATTATGTAATAATTTCAGTATTACTTTTTGATATATCATAAATTGATTCTATTTGCCCATAAATAGTGGCAACCACTCAAACTTCTTATCAGTAGCGACATACTTGTACCTACATATTTACCAATAAATAACTGCACAGTAATCAAAAAGTGTGGATTTGCTTTGAATCTCATTCATTTTATATAACAAAATTGCAAAGTCCGTTGTAGAACAAAGAGCGAACCATTTGGCCTTGAGCTTCAGGACGCCTGCGGTTAATAAGCTAAGCTAAGTTGAATAAGACTCAAGATATTCAAAGCTTTGCAGCCACATAACACTAAAATACATACAATACAATTATGTGCATATATACTGAAATATACCGGAATCTTTAGCATTTTCAAAGCATTTTGGAGCAAACGTTAACCGACACTAGCCACAAGCGCCAAGCGACATGCCACGCCACAATGTCACATATGAGAGGGAATGGAAAAAAATTTGCATATGCTACATGCAATCTAAATTGTTGTGGTAAAATACAAGAGTGACTTGCAAGTTCCGTTAACATATAGACATTGCATGTACGAGTACATATAAATAAATAAACATAATTATAAATACATATAACAATATTTATTGTATGCATAGAATGCTAATATAATGTTGACAGCCGCACTACAACAATAAGAATTGTAACAATATTTTTATTTAGCACCAACAAATAACAAAAGTCTGAGAAAACGGTAAGAAATATTAAATTTACGTTCTGTTGCAATTTAGGCTGGAATTTCGGGGAGCAATTGGTAAATCTATTTTTGTATCGATTGAGTTATTTTTGCTGTAATCTTGATTTACATTGATATGAAATTGATTTTGCTGCTCAATTGATAAAAATGAAAACAAGAGCAACATATGTACATTAGCGACATACACACCCGCCAGTTTCCGCATTTCAATGCGGAAGTTGCTAGAAAATGCCTTCATTCACAGGGAATAGCAAAAAGCGTGCTGGCTAATATCATTATTGACAATTAATTTTCGAGAAGTAACAAAGGCATTTGAAATAATTGGCGTAAAATACAATACGGTAGTTTATTTCGCTTTGTATTTGGTTTGATTGTGATAATGGTAATTGAATTTGTATACGGAATTTTATTGCGGCCAGTGTGCGTGTGTATGTATATAATTCAATTCTGAGTTGTGCATATTAGAATACCAAGCAAAGCCAATCAGAAACAAGACACACCATCGACTCTTAACTATTGGAGTTCGAATATAATGGTGGTAGGTATTTTAATATTAAATTTTGTATTATTATTAAATAAAAAAGTTTTCCATATTTATTTATTTGTTAATTATAATTTTTATTTAAAATTAGTTTAGGCAAATATATATGGTATTCTGACAAATGCGAAATTTTTATAATCTCTAACAAACTAAACTTAACCTTAAAAATTACTGGAAACCGGTTTTACACGCATAGGCTCTTAGGCAAATTCGTTCAGAGTGATCCGTAAAACATTTCCCGCATACGCGATTTTATAGAAAAAAATTGGCCCGCACAACTACTCATACGCCTCAGGACTGCACGAAGACGGTCCGATAAATACTTTACTTTTTCAGCCCATATTGAAAATAATTTTTTTGGAGATCTACGATAGCAGGAGTGTCAGGCGTTTGAACTATCTACTACCTTATTGCATGTACATACTTTCAATCGGCGAGCTACCAATATGAATTTCGACACCTTGAAACTGGTTAAACCAATTTTTGATGGTCACCATCGAAAGGAAAGAGTCACTGTAAACAGCGTTCAAGACTAAATTACTTATTGTTGGATTTTTTCTTAAAATATGTAAAATAAAATAGATAAATCGAATCTAAAACGTGGAAAGATGTTTTGATAATGATGGAAAATATTATGGTGTCTATATTTTGGGATGCTCTTGGAATTTCAGCGACTATAATGTAAGGTTATTGAAATTTTTGAATGACAAAGTCTTGAAAAATAGCTCAACTTTAAGAGAAAGTTAGTGACATATTATCGCAATTTAACCCTTATCACAATCTTTTGTTCTCAGACTTCAAAAAAATGCTCTGAAATTTCTTTTCTATGAAAAGGCAATGCTTGAAACAATTCATAAATGGTATAAAAAAGGTGTATCGAATAGTTGGGAGATCGTTGAATTAAGTTAAGAATTTTCTTTAAAGAAAAGATAAAAAATATTACGAATTTCAAGTTATTCTTTATATAAGTTGGAAATTCAGGTCAGTGCTTAGTCAGAGACGAACGTTCTGAATATTCCATCAGGTTTTTTTTAGAAAAAAGAGAGAGAGAGATAGCGCAATGTAAAGTTCTATAAATAATTACCCATTTCTTGCAAGTGACTATTCAACACTCAATAAGATTGCTACTTATCTGTTTGTCGGTTTTCCCATTTTTAGCTTCAGATAAAAACATAAAACAACTGTTTCTTTCGTCGGCACTTGGTACATATTCCATACATATTAAATAAATTTGATTGAAATGACAAACATTGCAAACGGCCCTACTTGAGTGGCAAGTCGCGGACGCAAAGATTTGTCGAAAATACGAGCAGATATTATCAAGGCGACAATCAACTAGTTGATCAATAAAATCAATCGATTAGTTAATTGTGATACAAAGAAAAGTGACATTCAACCTGCAGTAATGGCTTCAAGCCATTCTCGACAAAAGCTTTGTGATACTCATAATAATTGAAGAAATGATTTAATAATTTCAAATATGTATTATACCTGCAAAAATATAAGTATAAGTACAATATTCTGAAATGGAAAATCAGTAATTTGAATTCTTTGAATACAATTTGTGACACATCATTAATCATATCGAAAATAATCCAGCAGCTGACAGCTAATCGAGAGAAAATATCAAATCAGCAGCTAAATAACCAAATGAAGGCATACACGGATTTTCGCACATGGATACGTACACACTTTATATGTTATGCCTCTGGGCTTAACCCGCAGAATGGACAACTACCTGTTACATTTCCAAGCGAATTTTGTGCCAATTTCCAAAGTGAAGAAAGAGCGACAACATTTAGTGGCTTTCATAAACAAAATTATGGATAGTATACTGGAAAATCCCACATATGTGTACTTACATACAGATACTTACAAACAAGAGCATGACTCCAACTTCCGTTTCTCGTAAAAAGCATTGCAAGACATGAGCTAAGCGTGCAACAGCGTGACAAATGCGAACACTTTGCGATACTTTTCTTCTAAATGAAAAAAAATCACACAGATATCTATATAGTATGTATATGAATATAAATACCTATAAGCTCTTTGGAGTGCAGTGAATTTCTAGTTGACAGCTTTGTTTTGCTAGGCCGCAATTAAGAAAGCACATTGTTAAATGTCATATGATATGTCAGCTATGAAAAGCTAGTAAACTACTAAACTAGTAGTAAAATTAAAGCAGAACCTATTCTCACACATGCATACACTATGCCGTTGCATAGAACACGCTAGTGACTCAGCCGATTTTCTACTTTTACCATCTCACAGTCAGCTGCCCTAGTTACCCACTAAAGGCAATCTTTCCGCTTTAAAACAATTAGAGGCCTCATAATTTCCACAGAAAAAGCATATTATATTTTAATTGTTTTGAAAAACCAAGTTTTGCGTCATTTTCCGTTATTTATTTCAATTTTTATGTTTACTTTTACACAATTCTGCACAGCTATGAACTGGGTTCGCCATAACCTCAATTGTGATTCGGTTCGAGACTACATAAATTTGCAATAAATGGTGGAAATTTTTCAGTTTATGTCTTTATTCTTTACAGGTATATTACGTTGCATTGTGTGACGTCATTAATTTTGTAATTTTTTTCAAAACAAAGGTTGAAGTTTTGTTATCAATCTTCAGTTAGTAGGTTCTATAGCCAACACTTAATCCAATTTTTTTACACTTGCTACTAGCCTCTGCTGTGTTAGTTCAGTGCCTTCTGAGAATGACTTTTAATGGATTCAGTGGACTCATGCCACATTCCGTATTTCCTTTTGACCGTTTGATCACGGTAATCAAAGAAAACGATCAGCATTACCTTGACTTTTTACCGACTTTATTGCTTTCGGCATATTTTTGAAGAGCCATTCGCTAAATTTTTGGACTGTTTTGACGTCATATTTATAAACCGACATCTCGTCTCCAGCAATGATGTGTTTGGCGAATGTGCACCCCAGCTACGCCGTCAAAAATCTCTTTTGCGACCTCTACTCGACGTCCTTCTTCCAAAAGATTCAGGTCTTTTGGTATTAGTCTAGCATTGAACTGATTCGTACCCAAAACATTAGCCAAAATGTGTTGAGTCAATCCATACGAGATATTGGGTCTTCTGCTATCTCTCTGATGCCAACACAAGGATTTTCAAGCACTTTTTCTTAAACTCTTTTGATATTATCTTTACGAACAGATGTGGATGGACAACTCGCCCGAGGAAAGTTTTCGCTGACTTCACGGTCTTCACTGAATTATTTGTGCCACTCAAATACTTGTGTTCGTGATAAACCGTAATCCGATTTTGCCCATTTTTGTACTATAACATAGGAATATGAGAAGATGTTATGTACCGAATTTTCTTACAATAAAATCCACTGCATAATTTTGAACGCGGTTCCTATAAAGAGATAAAATTTAATATCTCTGACGTGTTTATTGCTTGATTTATCGCGCTTTTAGTAGTTTTTAACAACCGTTTAACCGTTATATGGGGAGTGGGCTATAGCTTTAGAGGTTTAACTGCGTATGCCCCTCTCCAATATGATCCTGTGTACCAAATAACAGTATTGTATCTTATCTAGGAGCTTAGTTATGGCTTTTTATTTGTTTTTGATTAATGGCGTTTTGTGGGCGTGTCATAAAGATTACTCAGTTTTTATTCAAGTTTCAGCTTGCACAGACAGACTGTTCAGAGTATAAATATCTAAATGCTAGAGTACATTAAACCTTTTACACTAGACTTTCCTAAATCAGAATTAACAGTAAGTAATTATGTATGTGAAAAACGTGTTTCTATTTCAGATGCTCTTGAAATCTATTTTCTGTTACACGATTACATCATTTAGTCACGCTTTAAGTAATTAGATCACATTATAACGGACCATTAGCAGTTTGTTAATTATGTTTACCTATAAATATATTTATCTTTGTACATAACTAATAATATGATATTCGAGTATTCGAGTTTTAATTATAATTACTGTACTAAATAAGCGCATAAATAATGCGGAAAGATAAACAATACGTAATTTATATGAAGAAAGGCGTTTGAACGAAAAGAGCCGTATCAGGCGTGTTGCATAAATTACGATATTTTAATGTTAAATCGTTAACTAATGGCACCCGAACTGTCATTACTGCCATTATATGAAATAAAATGTTGGCAGCTCTGACATAAAAAAGATTTGTTTCGCATTCGCATATATTATATCGCATAAATACTGAGGGAGTAGAAAACTAAACGGGCACTGAGAGAAAATATTTGTGCTTTGTTTCTTTGGATAAGTAGGTCAATAATATGGTTACACTTGATCCAAATTTAAAGCTACTCGGTCTATTTAACTTCCTCAGCTTCGCTAAGGTAATTGCTCAATTTATAGGACAGGTTTTCTTCGATGCATCCAGAGATGAATTTTCGTTAGCATTCAGTTTCTTCTAGCGTGATGATATCTAACTATAACAGGTTTTACGAATACCAAGTCTAACAATAATTCAATTGAGTCGTGTAATACTTTACTACCGATATCAATATTGGTAACACTGTTTTACTATGAGATTACCGTTTATCAGTGTTCCAGAGTAGTTTCGCTCAGCCAGTAGCTCTATTAGCTGACCACACTTTAGCTCAGTTAGCACCGTTGATGTCTCACATTTGAAAGAGAAATATCCAAAACGGCTCATTGGTTGAACACAAGTGAACGATACTAAAACGGATCGTGATTCATTTCCTGCCAGGTTTAATTCGCTCAGATAATGCATAGAGCTCGTCAATCGTTCAGAAAAGAATGTCTACAAATACTCTAGACCGTCCCAGAACAAACCCTTTATCAAGAACATGAGAATGTGGATAGATAGGTTACAATACTTTTAATAACGAACTTCGTCAAAACCAAATTGACTACGATCCGAATAGTCTTCATAAAACTACGCTAATCTTAATGCTAGGCCGGTTATCTTTCAACAGCTGAAATAGGTTCACATTAATTGCCACTTCAGAACCAAATATCCGGAGACTGGAATGATTTGAAATTTCATATTTTAAATATTAACTGGCAATTAACCGCGTTCGAGACGTGAGCCTACTACTCACCTGGAATTAGCCAAGCGCTCAAAACAAGTTTGGTTTCAGAAACGCTACGTTCATATGGCACCGCGCAGCCACTGGTGTCAGCAGTATAAGCTTTTTTTCGTCCATTTTATTGAACTTGGGTGTTGCTCCAGATTTGATTTATTACCACAGTGATCAACCCCTCTCTTGTAGTCGCACAACATGTACCACAGGCAATTCAATGGCGAAGCCCAGTTTAAACCGGTTGGATAAAGTTCATTTGCATATCTGCAACTGTCAAAAGCTGTATGCGGTATCCGCGGCTGACTCACCTCAAACATCTACATAATTGCTTACTATTCAGCAATAGAAGTTTATTAACTCATAAAAAATAGGGGCACATATACACACATACCCGGCTACCAATTGTTTTCGTAGATTAGACCATTTATAAATCATAAAATTCAGAAAAGAATTAACAGATTTATTTGAAACTTTACATGTGTTTTTCAGATACTAATCGCGCTAGTAATCGCCAGCAACTGTTACTCCAGCTGTGGTGCAGCTTTAAGGCGCACGCCAAAAGTCTATAATGCGCTCATTACAACTGATGATAATCTGACTTCTAGCCGTGCCTATCCCGTCATACAACCGACCATACACGAGAGTGGTGTGGCGCACTATCCCTTCGGGCCATATAATCCGTATGGTTACTACTCGCCACCGGTGCTGCGTTTCGGTCAACCTATTGTGCCGGGTTTGCCACCAAGTCAACAAGTATGTTATATTAAAAAAAAAAAATGTCAACAAAATATTTACTAAAAGTCTATACATCCGCAGTTTCCCTACCCACTACCACAACAACGCTTCCCACCGCAATTTATGCGTCAGCCGCCACCGAACAGTGGGCCACAACTGCTACCCACACCCAATGCAGTTGCGCAACAACCACCACCACAAGATGGCTCGCCGGTAGAGGGTGCAGCGCCTACAGCAACACCACCAACCGAAGACCAACAACCCGTCCAACCACCAACTCAGCCACCGCCACTGAAAAATCCCGCTTTTATGCCGCCATTCGAACAGAATCCACCCAAGCAGATGCCTAACGAGAAATTGCCTATTCCTTTGAACGAATATGGCCTACCACCATCGCTTATACCGCTGCAGCAATATCCAAATCGTAATCCTCAGAATCCGGTAGCACTTCCGCCGTATGCTTTCAATCAGTACCCAGTCATATATGATCCCATCACGGGTTATCGTGAACAATATCTACCCCCATATCAATATTTCCCTAGTCAGCATCAGCATTTTGCTCTCGGTGGTGTGGCCAGACCACCATTTCCACAACCACCAACAGCTGCATCCATTGGACCAGCAGTAACCTCGCCACCGCCGGCACCACAGTATCCAGCACCAGATCAGCCCGAGGAAGCAGCGGCAAGTGAGCCAGAACCACAACCGGTAGATCCACCACAGACACCGCCACCAAATGTCGACTTCGACAGTATAAAGAATGCGTCGAAGAGCAAGAACAGCGCTGTGCCGGACGTGCCGCCACCGCCAATACCATCAGGCAACAAGCCGCAACAATCCTAACGTGTGCCTGACGAGATGGACGGGAATGTGAAGTAACAATTGCACTTTACTTGGCCTAAAGTTCACTAATCGCATTTTAAACAATTAGGAAAATTCTTATAAGTTATTATTGGTAAAAAATACTCGAATTAATTTTATTTATTGTTAACGAAATTTTGAGCAAGAAAATTTTGTATTTTTGCATTTAATTCTTATTTTCGTACATCAATATTATATTGGATATATTGTAGGCATGAAAACATTAATTTGTCTTAAATATTTTTAGTGTTTTAATTGTACATTTGTACATTTTTCTAGGAAATTGCAGGGTTTACCATGTTTTAAATAAATATGAAATGTGTCGAGTTCGGTGTTAGATGAGTGGGATTCGCTGGGCATGTAAATAGGTAGTCAGCGTCATGTGGGGGCTGGATATATATTTGGTTTCAAGTTTGATTCTGGATAAGTAGGAGTTTAATCTGCGACAATAACCAGAACGAAGTTGTTACAGCAAGGGTCACGCTAGATTCTCGGGGCAACTCGAGCTCTTCGTCTGCAATGTGTGAAGGGTTGACTCCAAGTATGCCATTAACTGAGACGAAGCCGGTGAAGGTATTGTCTGGTCGGCGTACTGTTCGATGGCGTCGATGTAATCAAGGAAAGATCGCTTGATGTTCCGCAGAGACTGCTTAGAGGAGAGTGTATTATGTTCCTTGTATTGTATATTGGAAGTATGCGGGCCCCGCTATGTAAATGTTTAACAGGAGGCATCAAAAGGTGTCCTGTAATCGTTCGTACATCCAGGCGACCATATCATTGCCGATTGCCTTGTATGTTGCCAAAAACGTTTCTTTGTCCTTTTCCCATGAGCTGCCGGCTAATCGACTTGAGGATTTTGTTGCGGCTCTGTACTTTGGTAGTAATCGCGCTCTTCTCATGGGTCTTCTGCCATATAACACGCTGGCTGAAGAGTTCGTATCGAGTTTTAATGAAAAAAATTCTTGTCGTTAAATCACCGTTGGGTTTTGCAGGCCAAAAAAACGTAAGCCCATGCTAACTGGAAAGTCAGCAAAACTAAGGTGCTTTAAAAATATTTGTAGCTTTCCAGTGCATTATCGACATAATAAGAAAACGTGAATGACAATAACTACAATTCCTCATAAAGCGTGGAAAAACATTAGCATATTGTGTATTCAAAACTGTTACCATACTTGCTGTTTCAGTAAAATATTAAACGATGATTTACTGGTGGATAGTTCATTGAACATAGATTACCTTTGGGCAACTATTTCTGAGAACTCTCTAAATTCCGGTTTTTTTGTGGAATACGTAGACGTTGACTGACAGATAATGACATATTGGAACAAGTTTCGCATATAAATAATGAAAATGATGAGGATGATGATGACGCCGAAGGAGATGAAATTTTAATTAACATACAAGCCACAGCGTTAATTCTTCAACTTTTTTTTCAACACATAATGATATAAATAGCAAACTAAGAGAAAAAAATACCAAGCAATCGAAAATTACAGATTTCTTTAACGTTTATTACTCCGGACTTGACTGTATATATACATACATACATACATAACACAGATTTTTGTAGAATTCACAATACAGATTTCCTACATAGAATCAAAGTGAGGGTCGCTAACCTTTCAAACCCCTAAAGATCGCATTATCAAACAAAACAGAGAAATGTACAATAAACTGGACACATGTTTGTATCTACATAGAGACATACATACATATATGTACATACGTATATCCACTACTACTTTCGCTTTTTTGAAGAAATAATGGACTTGCAATTTCAAGAGCGAATAAATCGAAGCCAGATGCCCTTCTAAAAGCAGATCAAAGCAGATATGGCGGGATGTTTAATAATAAATCGAAATCCGTATAAAAGTAGAACCAACGTGTTGGAGCGTAGTTATGTCACAGTAAAATTCTGCAGAAAATGAAGTCTGTTATACTACTCGGAGGGCTGATATTAACAAGCCTGCTTGCTATTGGTATACAACGCATCCTCCAAACATTTTATTTGAAATAAATTATGAGCTATATTATATATTATAACAATAGAGTGCTCCATTGCTGATGGAACTTCTAAGCCATTTGTGCGCAGCCGTTACAGCAAACGTTGGCGTATTGCAACAACTGAGGCAAATCCCGACAACAGCAGCACAGCCACAACAGAGCAACAGAAGAATGTAGGAGTGGACTCAAAAACCGGGCTAACAACTATTGTGAACAACGAGGGCAAATTGGAAGAAACCACAGTTATGGTTAGTCCGTCCATGCCTTTAAGAACCACAACAGCGAACTCTAAAGTTATAGAGGAACCAACTAAAAAACTTATCAGCACCACAACTGAACACCCAAGACACAATGGTCCAAATGGCTTGCCATTGGACTATGATTACTATGGTAATGGTGGAGAAAATGAGGAAGATGCAGGTCATAAATAATAAACTTGTTCTAATAAATATACTTATTACTATACAACCATACAAATATATACTACATATAAGAAGAAAAGCTTGAAATGATTTAGATGTTTATTTTAGTTTTCGTTAAAATTCACACTTCACAAATAATTTCGCCATTATAGTTGAAGAGCATCTGTATTAGTATTTAACTTTAACAATGGCAACTCCTCAAAACAGCTGACCAGCAAGTAAATTATCTGCTAGGTGTTTATAAATATATATAATTTATCGAAAAAATACAAAGTAATTATTGTACAACATAAGCAAATTTTGTGCACAAACTCAGCCAAAAAAATTTTGCGTATATCACAATTACAAATAAATGAATCGCAACTTTAATGTGTAGCGAAGAAAAACAGCCCTTTGCGGATGTACAAACTTGTAAGGTGGTGGGATTTTACATAGATATAAAAAACACTTGTTGAAATTTTAAATAAGATGCAAAGCAATTGTAGTGTATTCTAACCATGTCCAAACTTTAAGTCACCATACATATGTACTACGTTCGTAGAAGTTTTCTTATATCGTGAGGTCAAGTCTGAGATTAAATAAAGTGAACAAGTGAAAGTAGGTGTGTATGATTTTCAAGGCCTTTAATACAGCTAACTATTTTTCTATGACCATTGGTAAGTGAAGTATGTATGTACATACATATGTAGAAATTATTTTTTGCGTGAACTGGTTTCAAATAATTTCTCACTAAGTTCATACTTTCAATTTCTTTGTATGAGTAATACAAATGTTTTACATATCTAACTTAGGGTATAACTCACCGAGCAGGAAAGATCTGAACTACTTCAACCTATTCTGGCTGTTGGCTGGTCATTAGAAGATAACCGCGATGCCATATATAAGAATTATTTTTTAGTGATTTCAATGCTGCTTTCAGTTTTATGTCGTGTTGCTTTGCTTGCAGAAAAACTGAATCATCATCCCGAGTGGTTGAATGTATACAATAAAGCACAATTAACTTTGTCTACGCATGATGTTGACGGTCTCAGTGCAAAAGATATTCGTGTAGCTACACACATGGAAGAACAAGCCAAACGTCTACTCTTAGCAACCGTTCCAATTAGTGTGTGGTGTTTTCATAATGTTGTTAGTTATAATAAATGTTGTGATTAAAAATTAGCAAATATGTGTATTATTTTGTCATTGTAGGTACTTAGGTAAGCTTATAATAATATCTTGCTTAATATCTCATATTCCGCCTTTTCTAATATGTCAGGCGATGTCTCATCCAAGCTGTAGCCGATTGTTTTAAAGAAAGCTGTGGCATTAGTATTATTTTTCAACACTGTGAGCACAACTTTATCCATGTGCCAATGTTGGGCGCACTGTTCCAGTATGTTCATCATGAACTTACCAAGTCCTTGGCGTTGAGATTCTGGTTCAATCTGCATTTCATAGCTATAACAATAGAGAGATGTAATTTAGTTATACACGCAAAATGTTGTGGTACTCACCAGTATAGCACACTGTTACCGTAGTCCATGTCAAAACGAAACATGGTATAAGCTACGGGTTGTCCACTTTTATCTGTTGCCACCAAATAGCGTGCCCATTTTTTATTTAAATCATTCTGCTTTACCTTTGGTTGCCAGCCTATTTTTAAAGTCTTATAATAAGGACTCACATTACGTTCCGCTAATTTAAAAGCCCATTTCAATGTTTTTGCATCCATATCACCTTTTGTGCGACAATAAAGTTTATATTCCGCTCCATTCTTTGCCGTAAATTGGAAAGCATTTGGCACAGATTCCATAGGGTTCTTAGCTTTGCCTGCATTTTCTACATTTCTTTGTTGATTAGCTGTTGAAGTTGTGTTCGTCATTTTGGAATTTTCCTCTACGGGTAGAGTTTGTAAAATTAAAGTAAATACAGGCGGCAAATGTGTAAACAGTGATAAATATGTTAATTTAACACTTCTCTTATTCCATGTGTAATATGTAAAATTTTGTTTTGTTTTGCATGAGCGGGAAAAAAAGTAAAGCATAGTGCTGCCAGCCATATACAATTTGTTGAGAAATTATAGAGCACGTTATGTGCCGAAAAACTCGCAAAACTAGATGGATTAGATTTTTCGCTAATTCATGTTATTTTGGACGATGTTATCACCTTAAATCGCATTTCATTATATAGTAGATTTCTCTTATAGTTATTTTATTTGAAAACCCTTCAATCTAAAACTTTCATTGAATACACTTATTGGAAACATACAGCAAAATTCCAGAATAATTTTTCTAATACTTTAAGAATGTTAATCACTTTTGTGGTCTGTTGTTGTTGTAGTGATATCCCTGAAGAAATTTGGAGAAACGTGCCGATCGTCCTTGGCTTATGCAATAAAATCAGAGTATATATTTTAAATCTTAACTTTCTAAATAGATATACTGCCGACGAGTAATATTCAGAGAGAGAAAGAGAAAACTTATAATTGCAATCAACAAGTGTTTTCTGTAACTATTTACATAAATGTCTTCGCCATTTTCTTTAGCACAAAACAAATTACTGCTTCTCTAAAATGTTGCGGAAATCTAAATCTAACTATTTTTCTTTTCAAATTAATTTTACTTCTGTAACTATCCTTCCTAGGAAACATTTTGCAAAAGAGAAATAAAAACAAACAAATTTTTACTTTGAATATAATTTTTTATACAGTATACTGTTAGCTAAGTATTCCAATGAAAGTGAGAAATACAAGTTTAGGAATTTCGCTTTAATTTTTGTCCTTTAATTCTTTCAATAGATCTGCAATAATATCCTTTACTGAAGGTGTGGTCTGGTGTAGTCCTCCGACCTACCTAGGCTTGTGCCTGTGATAGGCACAAAATCTAGATAAATAGAAATCGAATTGCATTCTCGAAAAAAAACTTGAAAATAATAATGGATATATGTATATTTTATTTACCATTTTTTTATGGAGAAAAAAGGGAGAAAATATGGTAATGAAGATAAATTATGTCGATTTAGATATATTTACTTCTAAATGATATTAATCAATTAAACCTGTATGTACCTATGTTATTTTCTCGAACAAGTATTAAAAACCAAAGGCGAATGCACATGGAAACATAAGCCCTTACCGTTTCAGGTGTAAGTTTTAATAGGAAGCAAAGGTTAATCTCTAAGAGAATTGGATTATCATGATTTATTGATTTATTATGTATGCTGCTTTGTCTAGCAAAACATTAATTTGTCATAAATATTTTCAGCGTTTCAAGTGTACATTTGTAGAAAAGTAAATGGCGCAACCCTTTTAAACGATTATGAAATGTGACGAGTTCGGTGTTAGATGAGTGGGATTGGCTGCGCATGCAAAGAGGTGGTTAGACTCATTGTACGCTGGATATATATTTGGTTTTAAGATCAATTCTGGATAAGTAGGAGTTTAATCTGCTACAATAAGCAGAACGAAATTGCGCAAGAGACAACTTGAGCTTTTCGTCTGCAATGTGTGGTGGGTTGACTGCAAGTTCGCCATTCACTGAGACGGAGTCGGTGAAGGTGTTGATGGCTCCACTGTGAATGCCGGTCAGTGCATGTCTTAAGTTTGTTGCGTCGGCAGTCTGGTCGGCATATTGCTTGATGTCGTCGATGTAAGCAAGAAAAGATCTTGTGATGTTCCGCAGAGACTGCTTAGAGGGGAGGGTATAATGTCCTTGTTTGAAAGCATGCTGGCCTCGCTAAGACCCCAAAAAGCATCCTGTAATCGTTCGAAGTGCACGTCTGAAGCTTCTTTAATCTGCGTTTCACTATATACAGGCGACCTTCCTTTGTCCTTTCCTTATGCTCTCTTCTTGGCTTTTCTGCCATATAACATGTAGGCTGAGAAGTTCGTATCGTTTTAATGAAAAAACTCGATTTTATTATTCAAAATATGTAGATGTCGTCGAAAGCAATAAATCACACATTTTGGTCTCCTTGTAAATTCGAATTCATATTTTTTTTTTTCTCAACGCAAACAATGTTGAACCTCATATGTATAATTTGAAATTTTGTTTCGTAATTTCTTATAACTCGTAATGCAATTTAAAATTTTCTGGTCGTTAAATCACCATTAGGTTTTGCAGACTGCCATGGCGCCAATATGTAGCTGTGAATGTTGAGTTGTGTGTTGCTCACAACCCCGTAGTTTGTGTCGTTTTTTTTCAAGCGTAACTTCTTAAAATTAGTTTTGCCTTATTTAATACAAAACAAATGTGAATAAGTGAAGTCTTAGTGGATATAAAAGTTAAAAATATAAGTATATTAAGCTCATTATTAATCAAAGAAATACGCACTTTAAATAGTTGAATTTTTGAACTGTAAATGTAAATATCTCAAAAACCATAAGCGGCAACTAAATGTATATATTTTTTTAATCTGGAGAACCTTCTCTATCCGTTCATCCCCATTTTAACCCCGAATTAGGGGAATGCTATTCAAAATCCTAGCCGGAACCACAGTTATGGTTGGTCCGTCCATGCAAAGCAAAAAGTTTGAAATAATATAGTTGAAGAACAACTATATTAGTAGTTAACTTTAACATGGCAACTCCCCAAAACAGCTGTCCGGCAATTAACTGTCAGCGAAGTGTTTATTTAATAATTTATCGCAAAAATAGAAAGTAATGTACAGCATTAGCAAATTTTGTGCACAAATTCAGCCAGCAAAGTTTTTGCGTATATCAGAATTACAAATAAATGAATTGCAACGATTAAATATATGCAACATTTCAACAGCTTATTGCTACTATCAGTGCCGACAGCAACACTTAATGTGTAGGTATGTGTGTTTATATGGCTTGAGGCGATTAAATGTTATACGTACATACATATGTATATATAACTAAATCGAGTTTTAAACAAATCTATTGAAATACTTTGTAGTAGTCTACCTAAAGCAGTGCGAGCAAACACATTTGAAAGTAAGAGGCGATACTCTACGGTGATTGCGCAGAAAACCATAGCGAAGAAAAAGATGGTAAGTATATCAAACAGTCCTTTGCGGATGTACAAACCTGTAAGGGGGTGGGATTTTACATAGATGTAAAAAACACTTGTTGGAATTGAAAATTAGATGCAAAGCAATTGTAGTGTATTCTAACCATGTCCAAACTTTAAGTCACAATACATATGTACTACGTTCGTAGAAGTTTTCTCTTATCGTGAGGTCAAGTCTGAGATTAAATAAAGTGAACAAGTGAAAGTAGGTGTGTATGATTTTCAAGGCCTTTAATACAGCTAACTATTTTTCTATGACTATTGGTAAGTCGAAGGTATAAGTTAATTTACCTTATGTATGTACATACATATGTATAAATTATTTTTTGCGTAAACTGGTTTGAAATAATTTCTCACTAAGCACCTAAGTTCATACAAATAATTTGTTTGTGTATATTTGTTTGTATCAATAATAAAAATGCATTTTTTACATATCTAACTTCAGGCAAAACTCACCGAGCAGGAAAGATCTGAACTACTTCAACCTATTCTGGCTGCTGGCTGGTCATTAGTAGATAACCGCGATGCCATATATAAGGAATTCTTATTCAGTGATTTCAACGCTGCTTTCAGTTTTATGTCCGGTGTTGCTTTGCTTGCCGAAAAACTGAATCATCATCCCGAGTGGTTTAATGTATACAATAAAGTACAAGTAACTTTGTCTACACATGATGTTGGCGGCCTCAGTGCAAAAGATATTCGTGTAGCTAAATACATGGAAGAACAAGCCAAACGTCTACTCTAAGCAACCGTTCCAATTAGTGTGTGGTGTTTTCATGATATTGTTAGTTATTTAAAGTTGTAAAATAAATGTTGTGATTAAAATTTAGCAAATGTGTCTTTTTTTGTCATTGTAGGTACTTAGGTAAACTTATACTAATATCTCATATTCCGACCTTTCTAATCCAAGTTGTAACCGATTGTTTTAAAGAAAGCTTTGGCATTAGTATTATTTTTAGATCAGTGTCACCTTATCTACCTATTTTCAAAGGAACCAAAAGGAATAAAGAAAACAGTTAATACCCCAAAGGATGGCAGGAAATAAATAACACATTATTAGTAGAGAATGTAGATTACATGTTATATTATTATATATATTATATTATATATATTATATGATATATATTATATAATATACGTTCTCTGTTATTAGTTTTAGAAACACGCACATTAAACAGAGAACGTCAGCAGTTTCAGAAGCACCACAAAAAAATGCCCCGTAAACTATGCAACGTGTAGTTAAAATCATCAACAAATTTACACAAAGAAAAAAAAAACCACTACGTGTGGCTACATAATAAATATAGTTTAAAAATTATGTATTTTAGTTTATTAAAATATATTTATTTTGCAACATATATTGAAATAAAACGTTGCACATACTCTAAAAGTTGTGGAAAACGGATTATAACTTTTCAAGCCCCCAGATATTGAATATTTGGACCCCAGAACTTGTAGCTGACTTTTTACCGAAAATATCGATCAATCCGAGAGATCTAGTACTGAGATTCGGGCAAAATCTCTTTATGATAACAGCATTTTTTTGTGACAAAGATGGGTAAAATCAGGTCAATATACTCAGAGAGCATATGTCTAAATTGATAAAATCCGGTTCAAACTACCAGTAGTCCCATATACCTAATATCCGAATTTTGAACTGCTTGGATTTATACCTTATATATCCGAAAATGTTGGCCAGTGTGAATTATCTTCATGCATTTCGTGAAATTTTTTCCATTGTTCAAGTATATTCCCGGGTAGAAATGGCAATGCAATCAGTCCAGACCTTCCTCCGGTTGACGTTTTCCTCATATACCAAATATATTAAGTAATTTTCGTTGAGTTTATATCATATACATATATACATATACCTCATGTGAGTTAACTAGGTTGATTTAAATATAAATATCACAGACAGGAGTTGTTAGGTCGACGACTTATAATATACATAAGATAATAGGATACAAAATATGATTGAAATTCATTCAAGTATTCATCGAACAATTAATATTAATTTTTAAACGGTATTTTTATACGCTGGACAGGGTATGTTAAGTTCGCCACGAAGTTTGTAACACCCAGATGGAAAAGGTGGAGACCCAATGAGTTTCATATATAAATGATCAGCATCATGAGCTTAGCCGATTTAGCCATGTTCGTCTGTTTGCCGGTCTCTCAACGTGTATATACCCGAACTAGTCCCTTTGAGATACCGATCTGAAATTTGCAAACGTCCTTTGATCTCCAAAAAGCCTTTCATTTGACGGAACCGTCGATATTATTTCACTATAGCATTTAGCTGCCATACAAAATGACCTATCGGAATCAAGTTCTTGTATGGAAAACTTTTGTATATGTGAAGGGTATTATAGCTTGAGTGCAATCGAAGTTAACGTTTTGCCTTAGTACACATTACTGATTATTCAGTTTTGTGGTGGTTTTGTCCCTTATCAATACAAATTATTCCTTTCTCACTGTTGAAGTATTTCCTAAATAACCAATCAACATCAAGGCATGCTTTTTTTTCAAATACACATTTATTTATATAATATATAATCCGTAAAGGAATTTACCTAAGTTAACAGAGTACCACCAAGCAGCGGCAATGTTGACGGAAGATTACCGACAGGGTTAAGAACGCCGCCCACCGCAGAGAGGACAGGAGGCAACGCATCGATGACAGGAGGCAAAGCCTCCACGACATCTGTCAAAGTGTCTGTTACACCATCGAGCGTACCACCCAAAGAAATGGTAGGGCGTGACTGTGGCCTACAATCGCCACGTACAAAAAGCACTAGAAAGAAAGTGGAATGTTATTAGAACAATAATTAATATACATATATATTGTATAAACTTACTTGTTAGAAACAATAGTGCAAACGCTACAGTGCTGATCCGGAACATGTTTTGCATTTGATAACTCAAATAGGAATTAGCTAACTAAAATTTTTCCATCATATTTATAGCGAAACTTTGTTGCCAAAAGTTAATAGGAAACAATATCATTCTAACTGCAGTAAATTCATAACTAGATAATATTTGTTAAACAGTTTGGAGCATGCATGTAATGCATAGAAATTAATTAGCTTACATAAACGCAGTTTTTAAGTTAGCCTTCCGATAAAGTAACGACTTATCGTTTCGGGATGCGCAGTAAGGCACGTATGCTTGTATATATATACATAGATATTTACATATGTACAGCCTGAGAAAATTACCTTTTTCCAATTAGTGCACAAAATTTTATTGACTCATATTCATAATTGAAATAACAATAAACACAAAATTCAATTTAAAAAGTGTTAAGGAAAATGCAGAAATAATTAGATGTAAACATATTTAAACAAACAAATAATTCACATATGTATATAGCAAATAAAGAGTTCGCACTGACAATGAAATGAATGCATTATAGCTTATCCTTTTAATTAGCCAAGTAAATTTACATGCAATGTTAGAACGAAGTTTACAACCTCTTCTCTTTGTTGAAAGTGTCGAATCTCAGCTCTGTCTAAATATTGTGGCAGCGATTTAACATTTTTTAAGTGAACAAAGATTTGTTAAAAATACTTAGAACCTACGTGGGATATAAAACAAAATATGCAAAACCATCAATATATGTCTACAACATTCACAATTTATTATGGAAAAGCCGCTAAAATCGGCATAACTGATCGCTAATAGTGGACGTTGACAACGGAGGCTGCCCTTGCAAAGACTATTCGGATAATGTATGGTCCTTTGCAGGCTTACGGCGGGGTGTATGCCAAAAATCCATTTGACGACATCGTTTTATTGGGCTTATTGAGCTGCACTTCAAAGCGATTTTAGCACAATGATCCACTAGTGACTCTAAATCACCTACAAAAGTACAGTTAGTAAGTTTTTTTTTCTATTTTGTCAATGTATCAACGAATGCGCCAAAGTCGAAAAATGCTTAGCCTTCAAAGAACAAAACACATTTTTTGGAAAAATGTGATACTGCGAAGCTCTGACTTCTTTAGCCCGTCTGAAAAACATGTTTTCTAGTGGTATGCAGAGTAGACCTCTGTGGCAATGATATTTTCCTTATTCGGTTCAAATTTCAGCCCGACGACTGACTTTTTCAAATTTAGAAACAGAAAAAAACACGCATAGAGTTGAATTGTTCGTAGTTTAATTTGACTAAAATGGCTAAGGGACAGCGAAGGTGTGAGCCGGTTCGTTTTGATGATGGAGGACTCTTTCTTTGCCAAATGGAACCGCTTTTTCTGCAATTTGGTATCCAATCGACACAATTACAGAGGCTTATTAGGTCACAGGGTCACAGATTACTGAAACGCCAAGAGATATATAATATTTGATACTTCCCTTAGCCCCTTATGCCTAATTATAAGAAGATTGTCGAACTTCCGACTGACTTTATACCACATAAAATGGATAAAATCGGGGCCCCTGATATTCACGATTTTGAAACGTCCGGCTGACTTTACTCCTTTGATAGGTTTACAAGTATATATGTACATATATTTTTAAAATTGTATCAAAATAAAGTTCTCAAGAGTACCTGAGCAATGTCATAAATTAATGCAATCAGCCCTCCCATTTCTCTGCCCCAATGAGTTTAGTATAATTTTCGCTGACGGGAAGTAAAATATAGTAATAAAATTAGGTGAGTCTATGACCTTTAAAATAAGTTAATATGACACCAAATTTGCTTGTAATCCATTCACTATTTCTTCGAATAACGAAGTTGAACATATTCGGTACATTTCGTAATATAAAGTTTTGCCAGCACCTGAAGCTATCGGGGGAATAGGGGGATAAATCCTTCCAAGTTGCAAGAGTATGAAATGTTCGCTTACACCCCCACTTAGTTCTTCTTTATGTTACTAGCACTAGTGCTGTGACAAGGTTATTTTGGTCCTTGATAAAACGCAAAAGATCTGGTAAGCTTCTTCCCTCTAATAAAATTTGCTTTTACTTAGTCGTAAGGGTTTTAACATTTTTTTGTCCAATTGGAGTCTACGCAAAAAGGTTACCGATGTTCAGTTATTTAGAGGTAAATTTAAGTTTTGACTTCTCCACCTTTCAACTATCCAGACGAATTAGTTGGAATAGAAATTGGATCCAATTACAGGAGTTTTTAGCTTCAAAAAAACTGTTTAGCTCTCCAACTGTAAGAGTCATCTCTAGAATAAACCGTAGAACGTCCTCTAAGTCATGTTTCTCATGACTATTCAAGTTTCGATTCTTAGGGCAAAAACTCATTCGACTTTGTGGCGATTTTGTTGTCCCTTATCAATACAAATTATTCCAATGTCCTTCATTAAAGTCCTTCTTAAATGGAATCAACATCAGAGTATGCTTTTTTTCAAATACCCATTTATTTATATAACGGTAATATAATATGAAATCCGTAAAGGAATTTTTAGTAAGTTAATAGAACACCAACAACCAGCGGCAATTACGCCGCGAGAATATCATCTAACTCAACGATGTCAAAAGGCAAACCCTCCACGAACAACAAAAAGGAGAGGGGCATACAGCGCCCAAGAACGAAAAGCACTAGAAAGAAAGTGGAATGTTATAAGAACAATAAATGATATATGTACCATTATATAATAAATGGTATGCATATATTGTATAAACTTACTTGTTAGAAAGAATAGTGCAAAAGCCAAAATTTAACCAAAAACAACAGCATCCAAACTGCACAAATTCATAACTAGATAATTTTTTTAAACAGCTTTACACACGATATGTCTTTGACGGTATATATATGTATATATTCGCTCCTGTTATAGGGTTACAATGTAATAATTCCAATAATTCCTGTCACATGCAATAGGCTTTATTTCGTACCAACTTTTTTCTGTTGGTCTGAAGTAAGCGTCCAATTACTTTTACCAGGTGTGAGCGGGTCTGCCGATGCGCCTCTGTCCAAGCGGGTTTCAATACATAACGTTTTTTAAGATGTCGTTTGCAGGTTTGCGTAGGTGTATCCAATCCACATTTATATTGTATAATGAGGAAAAAATTTTTATTTAATAAAAACGTATATAAAAATTAAAAAAGTAATAAAACAACATCTGTGATAGAATCTCAACTTAGGCAATATATAAGTATATCATATGCTATTTATAAAAAAATGAGCATTCGCGCAAACGACTTAAATCGTAGACGCACTATCATCGCGCGTATGCTACAAAACGAAGTGTGATTGTTTATAATTCTGCACTGTGCTCTATTTACTGTGCGCCAGGTCAACCACATAACATTGGTTTTGATATGAAATTCCTACCACAAATGCACGAAAATGAAGTTTAAATAAAAATGAATGAAATTGAAGTAAAATTGAAGAATGAGCAAAATTTAAATTTCACAATTCTTCCTACCATTCCGCTCGCATATGTATGTTGCTCGCAAGCTGATTCCTTACAACGATACTAAAAATCAGAATTCATGTCTCATGTTCTATTTAGAAAAGTGAATCGGCAACATAGCTTACTAGCGATGTAAATATTAATGTAATTATTTCATATTGTGCACTATATCAAATTATAAAATTGCCATTTATATAAAATCCTTTATTACTTCTATATATTCTAAGAACATTCCTATGAACATATGAAAATGCAGCCCAATCGGTAGTCGTAGTATTTCAAAAGATCATAAATGTTTTGCTACGTCCTGTCTCCGCGCGAATTCAACCTTACTTTCATGGCATGCCACCTGGACAGAGGCGTTTCAACGGAGGATTTATATCATATTATTATATTGCTTAATTTGTATTTAGAAATACTGAATTTTAGGGCTTATTTACGTAATATTATCATACTTGCGTAAAAATATAAAAACAAATCAACCAATACTTATTTAAATATTTTTAAAATAAATTTGATTAATAAAAAAAATTCTGAAATAAGAATGTGGCAGTGCATCCCTTAACCCTCGTTGCTTGTGATCGTTCAACTTGCTTCGTTCTAGCTGTTCTCGTAAAAAACAAAAAGATAGGAAAAAGTCTTTGTGCGGGGCAGGAAGAAGCAAGCATCAGCGTACGTGTTCTTATGAATGTAGGTATGTGTGATTTTCGCATTTGTATAAATACGCATCAATAAGCATAGATAGATCCATGTCAATAAGGACATATTCAATAAACCTAAACATATGAACAAGTAAGTGAATTGAGATAAGATAAAATGTTAAATAATAAAATAAAAGATAAATAATAAGATTAATGATATATAGTATTCGAACGTAAGCGTTTGTATTCGGAATGGCTTAACTCCTTCACGCTTACGACCTGAGCCACCACAAATTTGAAAACGCGGCCACTTAGCCACTGTTTTGTCATTATCCATCGCATATTAGATAATGTTCACGCAACGCACAAAAATGTGTTGTAAAATTTATCCATTAATTACCTGTTTTATTGTAAATTCTGGGGCTTTAATCAATAATCTTATATTATTTGAAGGATGTCGCTAACCAAAAACAAACATGAAATCCTTTGCATTATATAGCTTTAAATTATGATTTGTCCTAGTTCATATACTTATCAATTATTAATTCGAATTTATTTTTTTTTATATTTCTTATCTCCTTAGAAAAAAATATTCTGGATCTTTATTACTAAAATTATTAAAAAAAAACTCCACATATGATAATCAATCTATTATAATCTGAAAAATGCAACCCTTTACAAAAATCACATGTAAATAATGCCCACAACAACAAATATGCACAATAATGCCCCACAATGTTTTGACAAATTTCAAGTCTTCATTTCGCTGAATAGTCAAATGTGTGCAATTGATTAAAACTACATTGAAAATGCATATTTTATATTAAATATATAAACCAAGGTTAATTTAATGGAAAAGATTTGTAAAATAAAGTTTTAAGTACAACCATAGTCGTATAATTACACTAATTAAACAGGTGTCGACACCGAACTGTTGCTACTATTTTTATTGATTAGAAAAATTAAACGCGTAAATAAACTTGAGTTGTAAAGATTCCAGCTTTCTCCTTATAACAAATAACGAAACGAAAACGTGCCATATAATAAAATGTCGTCAGGTTTAAAATGTCGCAATTGTGGTTCCACCGATATCGAGGAAGACAATGCACGTGGCGATGCCGTCTGTACGAACTGCGGTTCGGTATTAGAAGATTCGCTTATTGTATCCGAAATACAGTTCGAAGAAATTGGCCATGGTGCAGCGGCTATCGGTCAATTTGTGTCCGCTGAGTCCAACGGTGGCGCCACAAATTACGGTTATGGTAAATTTCAAGTCGGCTCCGGTACTGAATCTCGTGAAGTTACAATTAAAAAAGCTAAAAAAGAAATAACACATTTGTGTCAGCAGCTGCAATTAACACAGCATTACATTGATACGGCATTAAATTTTTTTAAAATGGCTTTGGCACGGCATTTGACGCGTGGCCGCAAGAGTACGCACATATATGCCGCTTGTGTGTACATCACTTGCCGCACGGAGGGTACATCACGTAAGTGCACATATTCCATTGCTGAACCATGTTCTGTTAAGGGATTTCTTTTTTATTGTTCTCTATAGATTTGCTGATTGACATTAGCGACGTGCAACAAATTTGCTCCTACGAATTGGGTCGCACTTACCTGAAGCTATCAAATGCTTTATGCATCAACATTCCATCTGTCGGTGAGTGTACATTGAACTTGTCTTCATAATAAAAATCAAGTAGAACATAGTTTTAAGAATCATTTCAGTTTGAGAGTTATTTTTAAATGCTATTTAAAATGGGTAATATTTTTGGAGGTATATTATGCATTCTGCTAAGCTCCTTAAACGAAAACGAGCAACATTTTATTCGTCCGTATATTTTTAAGGCATAGGTGCGGTGTCTCACCAATATCTATATCCTGAACATGGTATAATCAGGAGTGCTGTAGAATCTGATAGTTGTCAGAATTGAATTCAGATATTATTGGTTTGACGTTCGAAACAGAAATTGTATCGGTGATGAGTGTCACGGAAACCAATTTTATCAGTTTTGTTATCAGAAACAAAGCAAGAATGTAAGTTAAGAAATTAATCTATATTATATTCTTACAAATTAATTTATCCCTATTTCTTTAGGAGAAAACAAAAGAATAAAACAAAATGTCATAATTATTGAGTTTATGGAAAAATCCAGTCATTTTATGAGGATTTACAAAACGTAATATACGTAATTTAGTACACAAATGCGTGTTTAATCAGTCGATAATGTGGTATAAATCTGTAAAGTCAGCATACAAGTAAATAAAAGCCAAATTTCAAATGCGATTTCCCTGGTGCATCAAGTGTACTACAGTTGCTTTTCAATAAAATAAAAGCTAAAATAATGAAACAAATTGTAAACTTAAGTAGACTTTATCCAGTATTCTAATTTTATCAAACGCTTCCAAATCTATGCATTTGCAAGTTTGGTCACATCAGTAAACAGCTGATTCGAATATTAATTTTACGTATGCTCGAAAAGAAGAAAATTCAATCAGATTCTGTGACACCATTTAACATCAGAATTAATTTGCAATTCTGACAACTGCGCAAATCTGGATTCCACAACAGTCCTGATTAAGTTTAGCATGAAGTTTGTAAAGCCCAGAATGAAACCTTTGGCCCCTATAAAATATATGTATATCTATATAAATGATCAGCGTAAAGAGTTGAGTCGCTTCTGTCTGTATGTATATACGCGAACTAGTCTCTGTCAGTTTTGTATGGAAAACTTTTTTATTTAACAATATACACATATTCACCAAATGTGGCATGAAGGCAACGGCACAATGATTGTGCCACAATCTCGCAACAAATTGTTCAGCTCGGATCATAATAGCGTATAGCTGTCATACAAACTGATCGATCAAAATCGAGTTCTTGTATAGAACAACAAGTTAACATTTTTTCTGGTTTTAATAAAAAGTAAGGAAACAATAATTTAATTATTGCTGATTTTCTTTTTCACGATTGTCAAATCTATGTGGCGTAAATGAATTCGTAACTACATATGTTCCTTCAGAAACGATTAACTTGCCTCTAAACTATGCCATGCTGCTACAACAACAAACATTAGTTCCATTTTATACTCTCGCAACATGTTGCTACAGAGTATAATAGTTTTGTTCACCTAACGGTTGTTTGTATCACCTAAAACTAATGGAGATAGATATAGGGTTATATATATATAAGTCATCAGGATAAAGAGACGAGTTGAAATCCGGGTGACTGTCTGTCCGTCCGTCCGTCTGTGCAAGCTGTAACTTGATTAAAAATTGAGATATCTTTACGAAAACTGGTATACATATTTTTTGGTACCGTAAGACGGTTGGTATTGCAGATGGGCGTAATCGGATTACTGCCACGCCCACAAAACGCCATTAATCAAAAACAAATAAATTGCCATAACTAAGCTACACAATAAGATACAAGACTGTTATTTGGTATACAGGATCACATTAGGGAAGGGCATCTGCAGTATAATTTTTGTTTTTTAAGTGGGCCTGGTTTTGCCCCCTAATAGGTTTAATGTGCATATCTTCTAAGCCGCTCAATCGGCCAATAACAAAATTCACTCGAACAAATGTTTTGACCTCTACCTCCTCACCTCTATCGATAGTGTGAAAATCGGTGAGATCGGGTGACAACCCCGCCCACACCATATATAACGGTACTGTTAAAAACTACTAACAGCGCGATAAATTAAGCACTTAACACGCCAGAGACATTACATTTTATATCTGGGATGGTATGAGATGACTTTATAGGAACCGCCTTCAAAATTAAACAGTGGGCGTGTCACCCCCACTTTTAAGAGAAAAACCCATATCTTGAGATCTGCTTATCCGATTTCAACCAAATTCGGTACAAAATATTCTTCTCATATTTCTATGTTGTAGTGCGAAAATGGGTGAAATCGGATTACAGCCACACCTATTTCCCATATTCCATCTGATTCTTTCACTTTCCACTATGCAAATCAAGCCACAATGATTGTAACGGGGTAAAACTTTGCGTGAATAATGCGTTTAAAGTATGCCACCTTGTGACCAAAAATTGTCTAAATCGAACCAAAAACAGCCCCTAGGTACTGAATATCCTAATGGACCCCAGTGCCTATAGTTGACTTTTTACCGAAAATATCGGTCAATTCATAATATATATAATTGAAATTCATATAATAAAATAAATAAATGAAACTACTGATTATAGTATGTTTTTGTGTCAAAAATTGGTTGAATCGGATCAAGACTTCTTTTAATATATAATTTTGCCCCTCACCTAAAGTAATTTCCCGGCCTTTGAGCCTTACAAGTTGCGAGAGTATAAAATGTTCGGTTACACCCGAACATATAATTTCCTTACTTGTTTATTTTTATTTTGAAGTCACTCCTTCATATATAGATATGTTTTCAGATAATCGAGTATTAATAGCCGTTTAATGTTGCCATCTCTCAAAAAAGTATCCACAATGAATCAAATAACAAGCAAACATTTTTAAAGTAATATTAAAGATCTTTATTAAATATTATTCAAAGGTAATATCGACAGATTGTAGTAGATTAAAAAAAGAAAAAGTAAACCTTAGCAGTGAATAATCTAAAAAAATACATACCTTTATATAGATAATAGTACAAAAAGTCATAACTTATCTTTAAAATCAAAAAAGCACAAATAGTTCAGCCAAAGAGAAGTGCAATATAATTCTTATACTCCACTTCACTGCTGCGTTAACTCATTACTGGCCATTTCCCTCTTAATGCTAAAACGCAAACGCAGCATAACCACAGAAAATGAGAACAACACAAGACTCTTGAAGAATATTTAGCACAAATGCAAGGCGTTGAAATACGAAATGAAATACAATTCATAAAGCGATAACTAGCATACTAAAAAGCATAAAATATTCCAATATTCATAATGATTATGTCCATGTATATAGGACAAACGCTAATATGCTACGTGAATACTAATTGATTATTTCGACTGTGATCAATATACTATGTATAATTGTAAATGTATTGCATTACTAATGAAACTCGTAATTACTCGCAAAATCAACTCATTATTACTACAATATTTAATGTTATTTACGCAAAAAGAGTTGTAATCATGACTTTTGCTTTATAGTTGCGTATATATAGTATGAATATAGTGTAAGTATACTTCTCTTTCTTGACTTCTTTTTGGGTATATGAAAAAACTAGTGGAAAAAGTACTACTATATGCCTTGTATGCATTTATATATGTATATGTTTTTTATGTAATTGTATATAGTCTGTGAGTGTAATATGTATGTACATATGTAAACTTTTTTTTAAACATTTTCAACCTAATAGCCTGACCCTGTGTCGTTATTCAACAGGATTTATTTTAGATAAATACATAACTGCTTTTTTGTTTTGTAAAATTCTCCACTTTTTTGATTTAAATTTTGTTTTTGTAATGTATGAATTCATATATGTAGGTATATGTGTATTATGCAATTGCTTTTTTGTTTACTTCATTTCCCAGGTTATTGTTTACGTTTTTTCAAAAATTCTACACTCTACAAGTCTTTCAAAATCGTACGTAATATTAGTAACAGACTTTGTTTAGTATTTTTTTGTGCCTTTAGAATTTTTTTTTACCAAATTTGATTGCCTTTTCCCTTACCTTAACTTCAACAAATGAAGGCAGGTGCGTTTTGTCTACATATACATTTTTAGACTTTCAATTGCATTATTATACATATGCAAAATTTAACTTTAGTTTAGCAGTAAGCAATTTCCCTGCAATGCATATATTTTGGCATTGCTTGCATTCATTTCATGTATGTATTTGTAAATATTGCCTGTATTTAATTGTATTTGGTTGTCTGTTCGCTCGCTTCCTACTACTACTACATATGTATGTATGTATAAACTATTTATCATTATAGTTTCTTTGTAAATTTCACATTGAAAAACCATAGATTGCCATTTTTGTTACAAACGCATTGTTCAAAAGAGTTCTGACTCATCTCTCTTGCAATATTCCAATATTTCTCATGCGCTCAAAGCACCACTACCGCCACCGTCACTGCTGCCACTACCCAATAAGTCATCACAATTCACATGTAAGCCACCGCTAATCGGTACGCCACCGCCTGCGCCGCCGCTGCCCGTACCAATCGGTGTAGGGCACAGTGAGTTAGTTGGTGAGCTTAATGCCGTTACTGCTGTTGGTCCGTAAAATATCAGTTCTGGAATTTGACCGCCCTGCACACCAGTACCATTGGTGCTTTCCGATGAGCATTGGAACTGAAAAGTTACATTGCCCATGCACACTTCGGACATGCCCTCCTGACCGAAGAAGCTCAGTTCGTTGCCGTCGAGTATAACGGATGCGGTGTAATAGCACTCGGGTTCAATTTGTATAGGGTTCTCAAAAAATACGTGGAATGTGTTGCTTGAACCATCCGAAAAGAACTTTGTGTCGTTTTCTGCGAGCGTGCGTCCCAAACGTTTCAATTCGATTTTCACATTATAATTAGCAGCACCGGTCGAGGAACCGTATAGGCCGAAGCCAACAATGAAGATTCTGTAAAAAAAAAAATTAATATTAATTCCACATAATATTCGTTACTTTAGTAAACAGTACAAACCTGCGATCCACCGAGAATTGTATGGAATCGCAACGCCCGCGGTAACGCCACTGATTGGAGCGATATGCGCACGACTGAAAGCGATGACATACTTGCGTCTTGAGGCCTGCACGCGCACGTGTAGGAAAACTTAAATGCGGTTTTGATTGTGCCGTAAAATGCAAAAATATATCAATAGTCTCTTGTGATGTGAGTATGCCCGTCTGCGCGACGCCATTTGCGAACTCTTCCAACGTCATGGTTGGTATGCGTATTAAATGTAATGCTTGACCCAACATGCTACGCTTATTCTGTGCCGTCACGTCAACGCCCATCTTCTGGCAAGCATTCAGAGCCCAATTGAGCGCTGCCTCAAAGAGATGTATCTCCTTGCAGTTGAGCGTCTCGCGCGACAATATCGACTCGAATGTCTTTAGGTCGATGTCGACAAAGTCTTCCGATTTAATCGCCATTTCGGCCTACAAACAACAAAAATAATACAATTAGTTGCACTATAATAATAATTTAGGTTATGTTACGCACTTGTGCATCGATTACTTCCCAGCAACGCTGCATCAGCTCGGGCTCTTCGAAAAGACGCGATTGACTGAGAAGTAGACAGGCGTTTTTTGCCGTCAATTTAACCTCTAAATAATTGACGCAGGCGCGTGCTAAGTGTGGCACAATATACTTTTTGGCTGCATACAAAGTGGCCAATATGTTATCAGGTTCCAATTGAATCTCATCACAATATAGATATCTGCGTGGTTATAATAAAAAAAATATATATAATTACTTTTGACTTTCACAATTCGCTGCTCAGCATTACCTTAACAGCGTTAAAAACGCCGATGGCTCCACATCAGGCACTTTAATTTCCTGTTTATTCTCGGCCAAACCACCATAAAACATAGCGTAAAATACTGAACTACCCGTGGCTAAAATGTACTTGTGTGCCGGTATTGTTTGTACACAATCTGCTGGCGTAAAGAATTTGAAAAAGACACTTATGAACATTTTGAAATATTAAACAAAATAATGCTCAACACATACCGAACTCTCCCCCCACAACAAATTTGACATCCGACATCAATTCATTGTTAAACATAGCCGCGTTCCGCTCCAGCACCGTCGCTTTGGTGGCCTGCCAGTTAGGATCAGCTGTGTCGATGGCGTTCGTAGCTGCATTGCTTATTTGATTTGCAGCACCGGCTGAACAAACATACGAACCACTGCCGCTACCACCACCACTGCTGCTACTACTACCGCCTGTCGTAGCACCCGAGGAGCTCGATGGCAAACAGAAGAGCGCCGAGCTGCTAATAACACCAGGGGACGCCAAGGGCGATGATGGTGCGCTGATTGGTTGAGTTATTTGTATATTATGCTCACCACCGCCAGTTGCAGTACCGCTGCCGCTGCTAGAGCCACCTCCGCTGCTACTACCGCCGCCGACGCCACCACTCGTTGCTGAACCGGCACCTACTGCTGCAATGGCGCTTCGTTGTTGTTGCTGCTGTTGATGGTGATTATTTGTAGAATTGTTGTGTGGCGGCGAAAGCAATAGCCCATTACCATTGTTTAATGTTTCCACTGTAAACACAATATTTGTAAACAAAGATGTGAGAGGTATAGATTAGTTAACTTGAAATGTAGATAACACACGTGTATGTTTACAATTTGATTTCGTCGTATTAGTGCGAAATAATTTTCGAAAATCGAAATTGCCCATTGCCGATTTGTTACCCGGCGTCACTGACTTGCTTGCGTTTCTGTTCATCATAATACATGTGTATTTACGTGTATATTTAAGTAAATATGCTAACTTCACTATCTTCTAACTGTTTATATCACTGAGTTTTCATTATTTAAAAAAAATGCGCCCTCTCCTTTATTTTGTTGTGATGGATACGAGATACTTAAAATGTTTGACGTATTTCTCGAAAGTGATTTTACTTTTATTATGATTTTGGGAAAGAGTAAAACCGCAGCGTGGTGAAAAATACTGTAATTTCTTATCAGTGATAGTTGACCACAATATACGCAGTTATTTAGTAAAAAAAAATGAAATTTAAATAAGGCTGCTGCGTAATGTGATTTTCATAATAAATTTGATTATATTCTTATTAAAGTTAAAGAATAATAATAAGCCGATTACTTTTAAAAGCTTGTGTGCTTGTATATATTATAAGATATTGTAGGGAAGCCAGCAAATAATAAATTTGCTACATTTTATTTGTGATTAATCAACTACATTTTGAAAATCTATGCAAGACAAATAGATATTGCTGCTTATACAAATATTGTTAACCGCTTGGGTTGGCATGCTCTCCATTTTCTTATTCTCTTCTTAAAATCTTTTGATAATGTTTTTTATATGAAATATAGTAAAAGGAAAACTGCAGGAAGCAATAAAAAAATCAATATGAACACATAACACCAGTCATTCCACTAGAATGCAAGTAAATGCGCTTAACAATAAAAAAAACTAACCATTTTGGTAGTTATTTTTAGAAAGAAAAAGTATTTTCTAACGATTACAAACACATACCATTTATCCAAGCATTCATTTGTGAATGCGACATCGCCTCCTGGTTACGCTTGTTAATCGACTTTAGCGAAAGTCTATTGTTGTTCGCCATTGAAAATATTGCTGCGCTCAAGGACTTGCGATATGATTGGTTGTGACGAACAAAAGTATACACAAAAACTTGAAAAAAGTTTCACAAGTACGCACTAGAAGAGTTAAAAGACCCACAAAATACTATCCAACATAATAATTCAAAGCACCACAGACTTTTCTTGTACTTTCCGACAATTGTGTTGTATTTTTACAATTTATAATTCATTTATCGACACTTTTTTCCTTGATCTTCATAGCTGCCATTTTCATATCACCAGTATAACTTTTCCCTTGCATTTAGGTTGCATTTCAGATTTGCGAATATGGTGATTGAGAGAAACGACAACTGGAGCCTAACTAGTGTGGCCACTTGTCAATAAACAAGTTTTATTTGTGCTACTTATTCGGCGATCTTATTTACTTGTGTTTCAGTGCATTTGTATTTGTTTTGAAATTCTAGAAGCTATATAAGCTTTAAATGATATACATTTAAAGTCAGTGAGTTTGTTTAAAGCAATATTTAGAATTTGTTTTGACAGCATGGCAACGTTGGTAAACTTGGATTTTTTACGTACTGTAGCCACAAGTGTATAAAAGAAATAACACTATTGTCAAGCTACAGGGTTGCATGCCGTATTCAAATAAATATTTTAGATTGAATTAATTCAGTACTATTTTTTTATATACATATATATTTTTATAGATATGGTGCTGTCAAGAAATTTATAAGTTGCCTTATCAAACTAATAGGATGTTCGCTTAAAAATCAATTCCACACACCTGATTTCATTATTTTTTATACTACCTCCTATACATGCATTTACATATTAATATATTTATTTATGCACACATGTATATGTAAATTTGTGTCTAATTATATTGTGTTAATCATTTATATATGGACTTTCCATATCAGCATATTACGTGCCTTCCGTTCGGAACTTAAAAGAACACTGTCTATTGCAACCAAAAACAATTTGACAGTTATTTGCTTGATCGAGGGGATTTTTTAATATAATTGATTTAAGTTTGTCAATTTTTGCACCGTTTTTGAAAAATCAAGGTAACGTTTATGTTACGAATTAACTTCATTGCTCTTTAATTGTTGATTTAAGCATTCAAATTATCATAAACTCTCATTGAATACTTAAAAATTAAGTTGGTAATGAATTAACTGTTATTAAATGCTAGTTTTTTAATTTTTTTTTTTTGTATTTTATCAATTGTACTATATTTTGTTATGTATTTTTTTCCTTGTTTGGACAAAACCGCTCGCTTATTTTTGTTCTTTGCATTGTCAAATAATGTTGGTATTCAAATTTATGCTTTGGATTCTTTGCTTATAAATAATTTAAATTTTTTATTATTTTATATTTATGGCCTTTCAAAGAGCCTAGACGCAGTGATAGTATTGTAGGCTGTTTTCATGTTTATCAAGACTTATAGGCAAAATAGTATTACTTGACCTTATTTACTTCTAGGCATTTAAATTAACTAACTAACTTTAGAAATAAATATTTAAAAAAATATATTTAATTATGAAAATAAATTTAATATAAAAATTAACATATTTTTCGTAAGATTACAAATGATGACTAAACTTCCGTTAAGGTCACCACTCCAACTTGCTTAATAATTTACACTGCCTTTAGCCCATTAGAAAAAAGGCCTAATGTCAATTTTGTTTTTGAAAAAAAAAAAATGAAAAAAAAACAATACTAAAAAAATATAAATTAAACTGACAATTAATTTTTTCTCAAAAAACGTATTATCAGGGATTGAAAATGGTTTAATGTTACCTTTTTTTAAATCAGTTTGAATTTTTTTATTATTTATTGGAAATTTTTGGAAATTCAAAAATTTTTGTGTACACATTTTGAAGCTAAAAAATATGGTATGCATTTGTAATATAATTTAATAAATTTTGCCAATAATAGCTATTGAATTTCATAAATTTTTAGAAAAACTCCTCAAGTAACTATTTTATCAAACTTTGTACTATTATGAACTTTTTTTAAAATAAACTTCGGTCTAAAACTGAACCAAGAACACAAAACTTTGGCATCTGCTTTTAGTTTATTATTATTACTATAACTTTTTTCAAGGCTTATTTATTTTTTTCGTTAGTAGTTTTACGTTCTTTATTGCCTCCTTCTTCGATGGTCACTTTGACTATTAGGCTTTTCTAGTTTGATGACGCTAAATATTTCGCTGAATGCTGTCAAAAAAAGCTGTTGACCTTTAGCAAATTCATTACCAATTTCCGATATGCACGCATATAAACATACTATAAACTATACATATGTATGTACACAGATACCTACATAGTCGAATAGATAAATAAATATGGACATATTTATATATGCACATATGTACATACATATGCACATAGAGACTTAAAGGCATGCTAACTTCGATTTTCAAAATAAACATAAAAACACAAACAGACACACACACACTAATTCAAGCAACTAATCCAAGGCTCACAAACTTGTTAATTTCACACTTTGCATATATTGTATATGAAATTTCATTAAACTCACTATTTGGATTTGAGGTGGAGATGCGGTTGTTACTTGTTACAATATTTCCACTTGTCACTGCTAACACTCCAGCTGTTGTCGTTGTTGTTGTCGCCGATGACAGCATTTCACGACTATTTGCTGGCTGTTGCAGCACTTCCTGATTGCCATCGCTACTCGCATATTCGGGCTCATAACTGTGCCGATACGCGCTGCCCCAATGACCGTTGAAGTCATCCTCCTCGAGTGTTAGCAGGTGGTCCAGTACCTGAACGCCACGTTCAAGTGGACCGTGGAATTTGTTGATAAGCTCGGTGAGACGCAGGTTGAGACCGTTCACTTCCGGTTGGGACACCGCCCAGTAGAACAGATGTCGCCCCAAATGACTTCCTAAACTATTGGCAAAGGCTTCGATCATCTTCTACGCGCTGCACCGCAGACATACGTCGTCGACATTATAAAACTAAATTGCATACTTTTCTAATTTATATATAATATCACTATTCTTTGAAGCTTGGCAATTGTTACTTGTGTTGTTGATAGTGGATAGGCGAGTATGTAAGTGTGTGTGCGCGAATATACTGAAATGTGATCTGAAAGAAAAATGAGATATATTTTGAGTGGCAAATTTGAGTGTTTTGGTAGAATCGAAAAAGACACTTGTATGTATTTACATATATATTATATATTATATGGTTTTGATTTTTGTTTTGAGATAAATTTCTTGTTCTTTAAGTCTAATGGATGACTTTGATCAAAATATAAATATATATTAATTATTTATTTTTAAATTAATTTTAATTTGTTAATTTATTCTTTCAAATATTTTTTTTTTATATATATTATTTTTTTAAAATATATATTATTTTTTTTTATATATGTATGGATATGTTAGATTTTTTTAAAATATTTTTTTTATTAATATTTTTAATTTTAATTTTAATTATTTATATTTTTATTTTTTTTTGTTAAATTTATTTTTTGTTAAGTCATTTCGCATTTGTTTGAATCATATTTTCCGCTTTTTTGTGTTCTATTTCACACTTCATTCCATTATATGTACTCGCTTGATATTTTATCATGTAGAAGCATCTATATATTTATATATTATATACTCGTATGTAGTATATAAATATGTATTTACAAATATATATCTTTGCACTTGTTTGTTGCTGTATCCATCGCTAATTTTTGTGCGAAGTTTCGAAATTTTCTGTTTCCTCAAATCCGTTTTCGGCCATTTTCACATTGCTTTGGCTTTTCATGTTGCAGGAAGTTGCATGTCTACACATACATATGTGATTGCATTGCATACTGCGAATACTTAGTATTATCTATCCAATATGGTGATATTTCTAATTTTTTCGCACTTTTTTTATTTTTTGTTTTTTCTTTCGGCTTCTTCTCACGCCGAAAATATAAGCAAATAGTGAAAACTAATTTTATTTTTATTTTTGGTTTGCACTGTGCTTTTCAAAGCTTTTGTTTCTGTGTCAACTAATTTCCGCTGCAAATTAATATGCAAACAAAAGTTCATGGGAAGTGTTTTCATTGTGTTAGATATTGATGTACCGAAGGTAGAATCTAAAGAACTTGGAAAGATAACGGTAAAATTGGTTTTAAAATTTGAAATTACAAATAAATACTAGAACAAATAATCAAAATATTTTGAATTTATTAAAATTATTAAATAAAATTAATTAAGAAATAATAACTGAAATCGGATATAATTAACCCTTTCCAAGCCTACTTAAAGAAAGTTTGTGCTCAAAGTAAGTAACATTTATTTTGAAAATAGTTTTTGGAAATGTTGTTATTGACCAATAGAGATGTTTTTGATGGCCAAGTTCTTTATCAAAACGTATGTTACCTCACTCCGAAAGATATCCGCCTAAAAAAACACCATCACCTTTTTGCAATTTTCCTTATTAGAAAGTATATAAGTATTGAAACTACAATTTGCATTTTAATCCGAATTTTTAGAGGATTCTAGTATAAACATTCGAAATATATAAGAAAATTCCCTAATGACAGTTCGTTTGAACTGCTATATTTTTACAGCTACTCTCATTAAAAAAAAAATAATTTTTATACACAATATATGTGTGATATTTAAAGATGGTGCATAAAAATGAAGTGTGCTACTATAAATTGTACACTTGATACCATCTGATCAAATTTGACCCGGATTGCCAAATATATTTTTTCACGCATTTTAATACACATTTTATTACCGTCTTCAAAATAGGTTCCTGAGGCAATACAAGCATGTCAAATATTAATCCAATTTTCCATACTTTTGTTATAAGCCTCGGCTGGATTTCAGTGCTTTCAGTGCCTTCAGTGAATATTGGTTTTTTCGGTTTCTGCTCTTTTTTGGTTTCAACGTCATCTGTATAAATCCACGTCTCGTCGCCAGTAAAGCTGCATAAGATATGTTTTGAGATCATCTACTATTTCTCTAATGCCAACACGCCGATTTCTAAGCCTTATTTCATTAACTTTTTTTTTAAGAGAAAATAATGACACACACTAATATAATTCACCACAATACACCACACTCATACATCACCTCACGGGACAACACAATAATAATAATAACAAGAAAAAACGTTAACATCGGTTGCACCGCAGCTATCATACCCTTCACAAATACAAAAGGTTCCTTAGAAGAACTTGATCATATATCTCGTCAAATGAAAAAGTTTTCCGTACAAAAACTTGATTCCGATTGTTCAGTTTGTGTGGCAGCTATATGATTAAGTGGTCCGATATCGGTCATTCCGACAAATGAGCAGCTTCTTGGAGAGAAAAAGTTATATGCTAAATTTAAGATCGATATCTCAAAAACTAAAAGACTAGTTCGTGTATATACAGACGGGCGGACAGACGGACATGGCAAAATCAATTCAGCTCATCATGCTGATCATTTATGTATATATTTTATAGGGATTCCGACGTTTCCTTCTGGATGTTACAAACTTCGTGGCAAACTTAATATACCCTGTTCAGAGTGACCTAATTTCAACTGTGATTTTCTTTTATGACATTCGGTGCGTGCGAATTTTAGTTTTGATATAAGTTTATAGTAGTGATTTTCTCCGTAAATTGAGGTTGTGTTTTTACAATATTCATTAACAGAGGTGAATTGACGACTCGCATGAGACAAGTTTTCGATGACTTCACAACCTTCACCGAATACTTTTGTTCGACTAAAATTCTTGTGTTCGTGATAAGATAGACTCTCCAAAACACTTCTGCTACATTTTCAACGATTCCGTAGCCGTGATTCTATTGGAAATCTCAAGTTGTTGTTCACTGTTTTTCATGATAAAAATCGCCAGACAAATTTTTGAGTCTATCTAGAAAACAATTTTCGATCGATTCGGTTTGCGTGTGCAGATTAAATGGACCAATCCGGATGGTACTTTTGGAAAATCAGTGTAAATACATACAATATTATACACAGAGTTGTTTGGTGAGCACAATATGCTTTAGATTGACACAACTTTTATTATGAATTTAAATAGCGAGTTTCGGTTAGTTTAAGAATCTCGTCATATTTGATTATGCCACTGAGGGGACGATATATTAGTCAGTTAGTTGCTGTTTATTAAGCTGTTATTAAGCAATCTGGTATTTAAATTCAATTTATTTCTACAATGTAAATGTCATTTTGCGCGGTTGTCTAATAGTTAAAAAACAAATAATGGTTTAAAGGAAGGCTGCATTTAATTATTGTTAAACTTTTGTATTTAAAATTTTTGTATTTTAAAACGTTAAATTACAACTATATTTATCAGTAATTGGCTTTAAATGTCATTATACCATAATTCATTATTATATCATTATCAAAATTTGCAATGTATAATTGTATAATTATTACTATTACTTATTACTTGCTTTGTGTAACTATTAATAAATAATTGCTATTCCGAAGTTTGCTAAAAAATTGCTTAATTTTTTCCCGTTTACCATATAAAAAAATATATCGCTGAATGTTTAGTTTCTTTAAGGTCTTTTATTTTCAAAAATTTACCATAAATACGGCAACGCCAAAAAAAAGTTTACAAAAAAATCCAAATTGATTATAAAAATTATGGTAAATGACAATGGTTGTAGGGTTACAGTATGTGATAAGCGATTTGTTCTTGTTGTTGTAGCAACATAAAACTTTTCCAATAATATTGCTGAGATATTACTAAATTTTAAAATTTGGAGAAATAGTTTGGGAGAAGACTAGTCTTCTTGTAAAGATAATCATACTTTGTATTAGAGTTAAGTAAATCACAAAGACTCAACTTTAAGAATATAAAATAGTTTTTTGTAAATAATTGATAATTCAATTTCAATAAAAAATTTTTTTTTCAAAAATTTTATTTTTTTTAATTGACAAATTTTACCCTTAGGCCAAGCAAAAAAAAATTTTTTTTAGCTCCACTCTAATATGGTGTATATATCTATACCTCATTTATTGTTTATATTTTCTGCACCTTTTCGTCACCATATCAATATTTTCATACATAAATACTACACCAATGACTTCAAACGCCATCTCAAGCGGCAGCGGTAGCCATCACCAACAACAAATAACAGCAACTGCCATAAATTTTAATGCAAAAGCTCTATTATTGTTATACAAAAAGGTTTTATTGTTTGTCGATGCGATGGATGACACCGTTGGTGGCTTGTCACAGCCACCGCTGCTAATGGCCGTCCCCTTGCCGGCGGAGGGCAGCGTTGATGCTGGCGCATGCACGTATGTATTATGCAACAACTTCCAACTTTTTCTCGCATTTCTGCATATGTAAGTTTATGAATTTGTCTGAAAAATATTTTTTTCGCCTTGACTATGCGGTACTTGGTACCGTGCGGCGCAAAAACAATAGCACCTATTGTAGCAACATTGTTTGAATGAAAATAAAATGAAAAGGGGAATGTGAATTTGCGGGCATTAACAAAAACGTCATCACATTTCGGTGGCCCAAAGCCATCATTATTCTTCGTCACCGACTGTGGCGTCAGTGACGGTTATGGCGTAAGCAAAAGAAAAATATATAATTTTTTTCTTCTTTTATATTTATGTATTTACATATTTGTATATTTATATGTGTATTTATATATATATATATATATATTTATATATTTATTATTATTTTTTTTTTCAACAGTATTTATCTGCGTTCATTTTGCACTACCGTTTGCGGCTTGCCATTCCGTATTTTGTACCTTACAAATAATCGCAAACAATTTTTTTATTATTTTTATAATTTTTCCAATCGCATTACAATGCTAAGCGCGTGCAATTTCGCGCTCACTTCTCCGCACATTTGGCCGCAACTGTTAGCCTGTCGCTGTACAGTCATGGGTGTGTATGTATGTGCTTGAAATACATTAAATGCATATGCAGAGGCCTGATTAGTAGTCCAACGGCAGCAGTGGCGTTGCTAAGAAGATGTTATTGGTATGCCAACTTAGTTTCCGGCAATGATGTTTTCTTTTTTTTTTGCATTTTGTTGTTATGGAGTTACGTACATACTTATGTAAAAATATACGCGTTGAGCTTTAAATTTGTGAATTTGCGAGTTCTTTT